TTTTTTATACTTTTTTTTTACACTCATTCGGAGTGAGGCATTTGTAGTGAAATTAGCATTCTGGTCATTTTGCATTCTCGTTGCAAACCAAGCAAAGATAGAAATGTCTTAAGCCTCACAACTGAAAATATAAGCCCCGGGCTTCTGATCAGCACTCTTCTGATTTTAAAAATTAAGTGTCTGCATACAGGAGGGAAAGATGAGCAACTAAACTTGATGTTGTGTTTGTATTAATCTGCAGCATGACATCTTAACATTTATTTATAGCCTCTTCCCAGGGACTCAGATTGGAGATGCTCCAAGCGAATTGTTACTGTTGTCTTTCTGCTTGTTTTGTGCTTAGGAAGCATCTAGGAAAGCTGCAACTAATGTTAAGAATGTAAGACATACCCTTCTATATCAGACCAAAGGCCCATCCAGTCCACCTTGTTCTCACCATGACAACCAGACACCTAAGGGAAGCTTTCAAGCATAACAGCACTCCCCTCATCTTCACTTGACAACAACTGGTTTTCAGAGGCATCCTGGAGGTAGCCATAGTCCTTATGGATAGAAACTATGGCCTTATTCTTCTACGATGCCTAGAGTTCTAGATGCAGCTCCTTTCTCTAGTCTAATAAAGCAAGGAATTTATTTATTTATTTTAAACCTCCTGGTCTCTTGACAGAGACCAGATTCAGTCAACAACTCCTCTGTTGGAGTCATGATCACAGGATAGCCTGGTTAAGCATGAGACGGTCTTGTCATCTGCTAAGATTAGTCACCCTCCAAGGGAAGAGAGATCCTTCCACATTGCCAGATTGTCACACATGACTTTGATGGCTAACAGGTTGCCTCAATCCAGCCAATGCCATCACTTGGATTTTGTTTTAAGTCTTGCTCTGTCTCCTTGGGGGGGGGGGAGCAATATCTGCTAGGCAACACTCTGCATTTTGGAAGGTTCCATTTTAGAAGATATGGTGGAGCTGTAGTCCACAACATCTGGAAGGTGTCTTCTTGGGGGAAAGCTGCTCCTATTGCATCCTGTGTTGTAGATCCTCCATGGAGCAGGGGTTTGATCTCTTCTAACTCTATAATTATTTGGTTTGGTGAAGTCAGTTGCCCTGGCTCCTGTCCACCACATGCAGACAGAGGCTCTTGCTTGGAAGTAAGAAAGATGTCTTTATTAAGGCAAATAACAGTACAGGGTCAGCAGAAGACACAGTGCTTGGAGTGATGATTCAGGAGTTCAGAAGCAGGGAAGACTTTCAGAACTGGACTGAGCAATGAAGATGTCCCAACAGGTTTCCCTGCCCCTCTTGCTAAGCTTTTAAAAAATAAGAAGCAGCACACTCGCTTGCAGGACTCTCTTGTCTTATGGGAATGTTGAGATTGCAAGCATCCACTTGGTTTGAGTGAGTAGGTCTGCTCCCATCTACAAAGGCCATGGCTGCTTCTAAGCAACAAGACTGCACTTTCCTGCGCAGGCTCCTTTTCAATCTCCACTGCCTCCTGTTCAGAATCAGAACCCTCCCCAGCTTCTTTTGGTGCTTCCTGCTCCACAGGAAGGCTGGAGGGGGCAGCAGCATTTCTGTTCCCCCTTTCAAAGGGTGGAAAGGGGAGATACCCCCTCCTCCATCTCAGGTTCCCACAATTCAGCCTCTCTCCCCTCTGATTCTTCTTCCTCATGCTCTGCCTTCAGAGACTGTCAACCCATGCCTGATCCCAACCGTACTGTGGGGCTCATGGCACCTGTAGTGGTTGCTGAATAGCCCATGTGAAGACATGGAAATTTAAGCAAACAAAAATGCTCACACTGGGCTTTTGGACTGCCCAAAGAAAAGAGAACAACACAAGTAAGTGGAATAAGAATATTTTTTCATCACTTGCCCCCCATTCTCTGCCATAGCAGCAACAACAACAGCAACAACAAGAAGAGCTCTCAACAACAGAGAAACTCAAAATGAGGTTATTCAGATGTTTCAATATTTCATGCATGGCAGATGCTGCTAACCACTTCCTTTTGTGCCCACAGGTCCCTGTGAGGAATGCTGTGCCACAGATGGTGGAAACAGAGCGGCGAGTCCATGTGAAGTGGGTGAATGGGAATCTGAGGAAAACAAACAAATGGGCAACTGCATACCCTAGTGCCATGCTGAAATCCGTCCTCCAGTTTCTCAAGTTGTTGTTGTTTCACCTGTGAAAGAAGCCCCCATTTCTCTACCTCATTCCCAGGGTACACCAGAATTTTGGTGGGTGGTGGGTTTCGAGGTTACCTTATCATTGCAAGGTGGGTGATGAATGCTCTCTATTTCCAGTAAACATCTCTCCACCAGTCTGCAGCCCAGTGGTGTGTGGTCATTGGACTAAGGGCTAGACCCCTAAATGTTCCCCGAGTGCCTCCTTCCCAATGCCCAGAAAGCTTCTGCCCATCTTAGGGAGGGAGGTGCAAGGCTCCAATGGGTCCAAGATCCATCCTGCCATCTTCCTAAAGCCCACCTGGCTTTTGGGAGGAGACAGGAGGGCTCTGGTGTCCTTCCAGAGCCCTGGCACCTCCTTCGCAAAGCCTGGGAAGCTTCTGCCCAGCTTAGGGAGGGATGCACAATGCTCATGTGCTCAATGTCAGGATGCTACAATGTCACATGCATGGCATCAACCCCCCCACCTCCCTCACAAGCTAGCACCTCTGGCCCCAACTGTTCCCCTATGAAAAATTTCCCGGCACGCAGCTTCCTCAACCCCATGGGAGAAGTCATTATCTCATGCTTTCCCGGGACCTGGTCCACTACTCTAATCACTACACCACACTGCCTCTCCTTACTATTGCAGAGAACAGACAAGACAAAGGAAGCAGCCTCCGATCCATTTCGCTTTTTGGAAAACTGCCTCAAGACACAATAAGCCAGAAACACGGACCGCCACGGTACAATTTCTATTTTATTTTTAACAGGATAAAAAACTTGGCACGCCTCGGGCTTTCGCCCTCAAGATAGGCCTTTCTGGTACTTGCCAATTTCAGAGTTAGAACTATACTTTAAATACTCTGCAGACTGTACTTAAGTGCCGGAGAATGTTAAACTTTCCAGTATGCCATACGTGTTTCAATTGATTCTTTGTTCTCCTTCAGAAGAGGTTAATGAAGCTAAAGAGGAGAGGCGGATTAAACGTTCAATCAAATTGCAGCATATGGAAAAATCCTGCCTAGCCCTGGAATCCACAGAAACGCTCCTACTTCCAATCTAGGGAGACCGGTATTAATAATAATTTATCCATCTGCTGCAGTCTTTCATTTCAGGTTCTGAAAGTATTTTATGGATACTAATTAACCCTCGTGGTACTTCCTTGAGGAAGAAATTATATTATCCACATGTTATGAGAGGGAGGGTCCACGGGGAAGAGTGAGGGGACAGTCCCAAACCACTGGCCAGACTCATGCAATGAATCTTCAGAGTCTCACACTCCTTTTTTAGAGGCATCAGACTCTTCCCTGTTCCTCCACAGAGAGGGAAGATTAAAACCAGAGTGACTGTTCAATATTGCTTCATTCTCAAGGTCTTGCCTTAGCATGCCGCCCTGTATTTATGTCCTTGAAAACTGCATGAAAGCAAATCCTGGGGGAAGGCTGCAGATCAGAGGTTCCAAGTTCAGTAGAAACGTAGGAAGCTGCCATGTACAGAATCAAACCACTGGTCCATCTAACTCAGTACCAGTTGGCAGCAGTTCTCCGGGATGAATGCAGAGGCCCTTCTGCATGCAAAAAAGCATGGAGTCTATCACTGAGTGATGACCATACCTGGCCTCTACAGCAGGATGGATCCAGGCATGTTCAGCCCTCCATGTGCCTCTTTGATAGAATCTACAAGTATCTGGGGCAATCTCTTATTGAAATGGAGATGGCAGATCTGGAAGTTGGCACTACTTGGGGCTAGTGGCGTAGGATGGGTTGCCAGCACCCGGTGCCATGTGGAGGGGTAGGAGGGAGGGAAACGGGCAGTGTACACATGCACGCTCAATTACCTACTGGTGACCACGTCACCCAGGAGATTGCAGCCGCAGAGATAAGAAAATAGTTGTTTCGTTGTCTGGAGAAGTCACTTCCTGGCTTGCATTGAGAAGCCGTTTTCAACAGCAATGGACATATGCAGCTATATTGAGGCAGCACCGGGTGTTGAAAATTTGCACTCCTAACAATTTTTCACCCACGCCCTATACTATGCCACTGCTTGGGATGAGTACAACACAATATGCACCTAAAATGGGGCATACGGTTAAGCGTTACGTTTTTAGAGCAGTTACCAAGCTAGGAAATACAAAGCAGTTAAATGCTCTCCTGCTTGCAGTCATTTTTTACATGCCTCTCTAGCCGAAAGTGCCACCCTTTACAAACCAAAACATTCCCAGTATACCAGCCCTTCCACAGCATCCTAATCCCTTGGTTTCCTCTCTGCATTGACCTGGGAGGTGGGAGATTTGTTTGGAGTGCCTTCTCCCACCCACCACAAAATCCAGCCATAAGTCCGGCAGTAAATAATGTGCACCTAAGTCTGCCATCTAAATCCTCTTACGCTAAAAGTGATTTCCAGTCATAAAGTCACTGAAATTAGAGTTTGGAGAAGAACTCTTAGGCCACCTAGTCCCAAATCACTTTCCCCCCCTCCCCGCAGTACATTTGGGACTGTTTTGTTCGGTCTAGTTTGGAATGACTCCGGGGTGCTCTTTAAACATCTTCAAAATGGAGCTTCAGCTCCTTCCCTGAGAAGTCTGCTTTAATGGTTTAATGGGCATGTTTGCTTAATGAGTCATCCTTAGTTGGAAGCTTTCCCTCTCTCTCTCCCAAGTATACGGAGTTGAACTCTTTTATATATGCACGCCAGGAGTGGCTAACCTGTTGGACACCATCAGCCCTGACCAGTGTGGCCCGGGGGAGCACAGGAAGTTGCATTAACCTGAGCCAGATCTAGGTCAATATTGTCTACACTGACCGGTAACAACTCTCCAGAATTTCAGGCAGGAGCTTTTCCCAGCCCCACAAGGAGATCCTGGGCATTGAACCTGGGAACTTCTGCATGCAAAGGTAGATGCTCAACCACTGAGCTATGGCCCTTCCTAAAGAGACCGGGAGTGATGGGAGTTGTAGTTCGGGATCTTCTGCTGGTTCACCACCGCAGACAATGACCAATGAAAATTCACATGGGGCAAGGTGTTTAGAGATGGGGTGGAGATACTGCCCTTGATTTAGCCCCCCACCCCTTTATACAGCCCTTTTCCAGCAGATCTATGAGGGTGACTCTCTGGACTCAACAGGCAGTCTCCAGCAAAGCAGGAATTGCTAGTAGCGCAATAAAGCTTCCCTTCTCTCTCCTCTCCCCTTACACCTCCTAAACCTGTGCTGCTGGTGGGTGTGGGGACACATGGGGGGAGAGTCCTGTTGTGCAGATGGAAATCCTTTCACTAATGACAGTACTCTGTTGGATAACTCCCATTGTTCAAACAAGGATTGCATTCTGGCCCTTTTTTGAAGCAACATTCACAAACTGGTTTGGATTTTAACTTCCATTTGCATGTGCCAGCTGGGACTGATGGGAGATGTAGTCCAAAACATCTGGAGGGCACTTTCTTGGTGAAGGAAGCTGTGATGGTCCCGAGGGTCAACCGTGTGGCGAGGTCAGAGTCCAGTCCGAGGTCGAGGGTCCGGTATGGAGGCTGTCCATCAAAGGCAAGGCGGGGTCCAAGGCAGGGAGTTGGGTGAGGTCAGGAACTCTGGCAGAAGAGCAGGACAGGGTGCAGGCAGGAACAGGCTAGCAACAACATTGTTCCCGCAAGCTGGGACTGGGGCTGACGGGCTTTTATCTGCCCCGAGGCATAGGGCGGCCCCGGTCCACAGGTGACTCGCCTTTCCTGGCCTGGAGGTGAGCACTCCTCCTGCAGGAACTTAGTTCCCTCCGCCTCTCTGCCCTGGGCCTCTGCAGCTCAGGAGAAGCTGGAGGGTTACCGAACCCAGAGGCAACCTCCTCTTTCCCTGATGGGGCTGAGAGTGGAGCACCTGCAGGCAATGGGTCCTCCATCTCCACAGGGGCCAGAGCAGACTCAGCTGATGCCTGCACCTGAGGATCCAGCACAGGTGAGGACCCTTCAGGCTCATGCCCCAGCCCCGGCTCAGCTGGTTCTGGAGGTGGGGACTCCTGTGCAGGCTGGGATTCCTCAGGTTCAGCCTCTGAGTCCGAATCCCAGGCCATCACAGAAGCTTTGGAGCAACGTCTGCTCTCACTGGGAGCTCTCCTTGGTCTCTAAGGTTCTCTTACTTGCTACCTGGCTTCTGTTACTTAGCACCTGCTTCCTGCCATTTGAGAACATCAGAAGAATCGTCCCAGATAGTGCCAAAGTCCTGAGCTGCCCAGTATCTTGTTTTCCGCAATGCCCTACCAGATGTCTTCCTAATGGGAAGCCCACAAGCAATAGCCCTCTCCTGCTGTTGTTCCCCAGTGACTGATATTCAGAGGCATACTGAAAGGGTGCCGCTAGCACTCAGGATGTTTTCTCGCAGGGCACTAAATGACCTTTTTGTATTTTCCATGGATGTAATATGAATGTAAAGCAGAGGTTGCCCACTGGTGCAGCCACAGAGACTTTCCCTCGTGCCTGGCAGGGTCTCCTTCCCCACTGAAGTCAAGCTTGAAGAAAGCATCATATTGTAGCCAGTAGAACGGGTTGTGGTGACCATAACAATTTTTCCGGTTTGCAATTGTGCCTGCAGGCCCAAGGCTGGCAACCCCTGATGTAAAACATACAGTAGCTACAACCATTTCTTGCATTGCAAAATGTCTCTCTCCAGCTTTCTGGTCCTCATAAAGATTCCCACATGTCCAAAAAATGTAGATGACAAAAGCCTCAAAGAGGGTTCCCCCCCCCACACACGCATTGTACATCTGAAAACACCCTTTTAGAACCAAAACCAGCATTTTGAAAACATTGCAAATGTCAGTGTGTTGGGATTTTGGATTTGCCCTCAGAATTCCAAAGCTTAATTTCATAGCCTCGGCAGCTTCTTGATGGTTTTAGTTTTTGCCTGGTGTAACGAATCGACCCACCTCAGAAATTTCCTCCACACATTTGGCTGACTGGTTGCTGAAAACAAAATGTTGGATTCGGTGTTGCAGGACAATCCAGGGCCTTGTTATTCCTACTATTCTGAGGAAAGCAAAGGGTGTGAGGGAGGCTCAACCTGAAGCATGAATGAGGGCAGTGGGAGGGCAATAAAGAAAGAGAAGCAATACATAACTCACAGTGCAGTTCTCTAAATAGCTACTTCAGGAGTAAGGCCCACTGAATTCAATCCATGGGGCCTACACTCCCCAGTAAGTGTATGTAGGAAATGTAGAGTAGCAGTTGGCAGCATGCAAACCACACATTTAAAGCACATATACCCCTCCCAAGAATCATGGGAATTGTAGTTTACCCTCACAGGGCAGTGAAATTTGCATCACCCTCAACAAACTACAGTTCCCATTATTCTTCCAGGTGTGCAGGGTTTAAACATATGATAGGTACACAGCTCTATTATGACATCTCCTTTACTGTTTGTTTTAGGAGGCAAATCATTTTGATGGGATAGAAGACATATACAATCTCTCCAAACGATCAGCTTGCTTCCGTCATAAGGGCTTCTGCAGCTTAAAAGCAGAAACTCCAGCACAAACGCGTTCTATGGGTGCATCTGAGAAAGGGGGTGGGGCAACAACAAAGAGCCCTGCTGAATGCAAATCATTTCCCCTTGCTCCCATCCCATAATAACAACAACAGCACGGTGATTAACAAACCTGGTTGAAACAAGTGGAATAAGAGTGACACACTATGGCAGCTTCAAAAATAAAATCCCTTTCGCTTCAAAGTGACGGGGTCTAGGGGCACATTTCTGCCTGGAGAATGTAATTATCTTTGGGAAATATTATGTGTAGAATATAGTGTGTGTGTGTGTGTGTGTGTGTGTGTGTGTGTGTATTCATTCTGCAATTACATGTGCTTGTAAATCCAGGTGCCCAGCACAACACTGTTTTCACTGTGTCAGTTGCATTGTGTGAACTACCCAGTTCTGTCCTTTTCAAAAAGTTGACTCTTAGTTTTGTCTCTTTATCTGCCTCCACAGGGCTGCTTTGCACCCAGGTAATTGCACCACAATTCTACAATGCCTCCTTAGAACTTCCATTAAGTCTGGTGGGGCTTGTCCCCGGGTAAAATATTTCAGGGGTGTAACCTGGGCGGCAGGAGGTTAGAACAGAGTGGTGGGAATTTCACTTCCCTTGGAGATTGGAGTGGTGTGCTACAAACTGGAGAATATTCACTGTGGCATGAATGCCACCTTGTTCCCTTGGCTACATGCATTTCCTTTGCTTTTGAATATTTTAAAGCAGCTTTAAGATTTCAGAAGAAAGGTGCACTTTGGTTCACCTATTGCAGGAACGACAGCATCCCTGGCCACTGGCTATGTTTGCTGAGACTGATGGGAGTTGTAGTTCAGCAACAGCTGGAGAGCCAAAATTTTCCCACACCTGAACTATTGGCTCAGAAGATGTGGATGTGGCAGCTGAGAATTAAAATGTGGACTGAGTGAACTTCATCCCCGTTCCTACATGGGGGTACTGCAGGGTGAGGTAGAAGCTGCCGCTTGGGAGATATGCATGCTTCCATTATTCTCCTCTTCTTTATTTGTAAGAAGAACAGCAGATACCATAAGGGGAAGGGGCATAGCTTGGTGGCAAGCAACTGCTTTGCATGCAGAAGGTACCAGGTTTATTCCCAGGCACCTCCAGGTTGGGCTGATGTCCCCTCTGAAAACTGGGACAGCCATCGTCAGTCAGTGTTGGCAATGTTAGCTAGATGGGCCACTGTTTTGACTGTTACAATTCCTGCTCCGTGATTGCAGCCATGGGATTGTTGTCTATCACATGACGGTGTATGTTTTGACTCCACAGAGTGAGAAGTGATGGAGACAGGATGTTTGTGTTACTGTGTTCCGTGAAGTGGGACTATTGTCCTTTGTTCTCTCTCTTTACTGTCTGATGCTAGAGAGAGAGGGAGCCATGTTGCAGTGCTCCGTGTGTGTTTATATGTAAATAAAGTAGATTAGCCAAAATGCTGAGTTGCTGAGGTCTGTTACGCAAACTGTGAACACTCTGTGGATCCCTAAGTGTGCCGGTGTCAGTCACTGTGATGTTCAGGCTGAAGAAAGCTTTTGAAGCTCCCGAACGGACGACCAGAAGGGGGGGGGGGACATGCCAGTCGGTCATGTGTCCCTGCCAGGGTCCTACTCGAGAGTAGGACGAGCTCCTAACATTGACTTGGCCCAAGGATGTTTCTTCTGTGTGATCTCATGCTCTTGCCTTCTTCCCAAGAAAACCAAACACTTCTGCACTTTTCTCTCCTCAGGCAATTTGGGAGTGCCTAACAGAGTATTTAAAAACCTATCTGGAATACGAAATGAAAATATTAACCACCGACATATTTTCAGCCCATGTCTTGCGCTGCCTCCGTTTGACCGTAATAAAGCCTTATCCATCCACACTTCATAATTCAAAAATAAAAATAAAAAAACTGACAGCCGGCAATGGGCACAGCCGACGTCTCGTGTTGCAGAGATTTCAGTATGTATATATATTTATTCTTACAAAATATATGGCTCTGCTTATACCTGTACTGCTAGGATTTTCATTAGTTCCATAAATATCTCGCAGAGACGTTAACTATCCAAATTCGTACTGGCACATGAAACATTACTTGCCCTGTCCCCCATTAAAAAGCGTACGAGAGTGGGAAGGGTGACATTATGATCTAAGAGCTGGGCTCCGTGACTTTTGACAAAGAATAAAAACACAGCTCAATAATTTTCTGAGTCTGCAAGAAGTTGTGTAAGCAAAACAGAAAGCTGTGTCCAGTTCTGGGCACCATAGTTTTAAGAGGAGGGCAATAAAGGTTTTCAGCAGAATGGAAAACAAGTTCTAGACAGAAAGGTTGAAGGAACTAGCGAAGAAAACATAGGAAATGTGGTGTAGGAACCACATTAAAGGAGAGAAGTATCTAGACTGTGCTCTATTATTTTCCCCAAATT